GCGGGGACGCCCGTCGGGCGGCGGGGCCCAACCGGAGGAGCCCGGCCGCCCCCGCGCTGGCCCTGCGCCCCGGCCCCGGCCCCGCGGGTCGAGTACTCACGTGAGATAACGGCCCAAAGAGTCGGGTAAAGCGTCTTCTCTTTTTCGGCGGAATTTTTAAAGAGGGATGTGGTTACCTTGAGCAGAAATACCCAAGGCGGCCTGGGCCATAGGCTGCGGGAACGACGTGGGGGGGAAAGCGCGGCACCGACACCAGCTGGGCAGCAGTGGCGGCGGCGGCCGGACAGAGAAAAAGAACAGCGCGAGGAAGAGAAAAGCGAGGGCTAGGGGGGGAGGATTCGGCCTCGTCAGACCGCAGGGCAGCAGGGCGAGAAGGGAGAAGCTGAGAAGGCAACGGCGCTCGGCGGGGAAGAAAGAGGAACGTTGCAACCAAACCTAGAGCCAGCGAGTGTGGGAAGGCAGCGTTGGAGACGCCAGTATTTATAGTAGGGGCGGGGCTACGTGACGTCACAGCCAGCCGCGCACCCGCGCGAGCGGGGCGGAGCCGGGCTGCCTAGTGGAGAAGGGAGGGGGCGGAAGGGGAAAGGGGACAGCGCGGCGGGAGCGAGGTGGGCGGGGGGTGGTGTGACCGTCTGGCCGCTTCCCGCCCTCCCACTCCCAACAGCTCCCCTGCTAGCGGGGGGCCTGCTGCGCGATCGTGGGCGAGCGGGGTCGCGGGGAGTTGGCTAGGCCGGAGCTCCGCGGCGGCCCCGCGCCCGCGCCCGCGCCCCCAGTCCTGGGGCGCCTGCGCTCGGTCTGTGGCGGGCCAGGCGCATTGTGAGCTGGAGCCGGTTCCCGCTGGCCGCCGTGCTGGGAACTGCCATGCCCGGCCCAAGCCAGCGAGGCTCCCCCGCTGCCTGTAGGGGAGCTTTCCCTAAGACCTAGAGCTTCCCCCCGCGGGAGCAGGCTGCGTTGTGCGGACTGTCTGTGCGACCCTGGGGGGCTGCCCCGGGAGCGTGAAGCTCCTGCCCCCGCGGGGTGGGGGCACTGCATTGTAGAAGTGGAGTTAGAGAAGCTCCTGGCCACGTGAGCGTGCCCCCAGTGCACGGACGTTGCAGTATGGTGCAGAAGGAATGTTTTAACTATGTGGCTTTTATGTCTTCATTTCAAAAGGGTTGGTGCAGTCCGATTCAATCTTTAATGGAGGACCAGGGCGGGGAGATGATTGATGTGACAAGTGCACATTGCACGCCTGATTTTGCAGTCATTTTAATATTGCTACTCCCATTATTTTTTTGTAGCCAACGGGTCTTAGATAACCTACATAGCTTCTAATTAGTTTTTTACAGGTATCTTGCCTCTCGTGACGAGGGACCCTGTGTCCTGTGCTAAGTGCCCGGCAACTTGACACTCACCAAGCACAAATGGAATATGTAGGAATGCCTCCCTTTCCACCTACTCCTCGTATTAAGGATTTTTTGGAAATAAGATCCTGGTTTTATTTTTTCTCTTTCTCATCTTCTCCCACCTTTGTGAAAGTGGTTGATGAATAAATCATCAAGAGAAAGAGCCTCCCTGAGTGGAAAAGGCAGGCTGTTTCCTGAGGGTGCAGCCTAAGAATATTCTCTTGGACAAGTGAGTAGTAGGTGGAAATCAGGAGCGGTGGGCCCTACTGATTTTTCCATCTCCATATTTTGCTCTGCTTTGTCCTGGTTTTCTCTTTTATTTCCTTAAGAATGCTGCTCAATTCAGAATACTTTTAATCACAATACTTTACTAGATCTCTGATAGAACCAGGAAGGCTAGGGGCAAATGACCCTGAAATCTTACCATCTAAAAAGAGAAATAAGACAATTACACAAAACAAGATGTTGACAGATAAGCAAATAAAATCTGCTGGGAGTGGGGACCTATACACAATAGAAGGAAGTGCCTGGTTTGGTTGGTTGAAGCTATCTGATCAGTTGGTGGATCTGACCACTGGCATACATAGGCTCTTGGCTAGTTTTTGGCAGTAGATCACCAGGCCTTTCTTTCTAGTCTGTTTCCATCTGAAAGCCCTCCTGAACCTGTTTGCATCATAGCAGCACACAGCAAACCTCCACTGAACAGATAAGTGGTAGCTGGGCTTGAGGTGCATTCGTTGGCATCAAACCTGGTTGTAGCAGTTACATAATCTGTCAACTTGTGAAGGGGTAGAGTCTAGCCTGTCAATCAGGTGACAACTTGACTTCATTTGGAGGCACAAAGGAGATAAATAGCTCACTGTGGGTCAGACCTACACAGACTCTCTGTTGACAATCCACATGAAGCTAAGCTGATAAAGCCAGAGCCCTGGAGCTTGAGGAGCCACATGGAGACCCACGCTGAAATGCTTCTACCACCACTGGATCCACAAGACTTTCCACCCACTGGCCCATGATCTTCCTGCATTTGGCATATGTGTTGTGTGTGTTGTGTTGTGTGAGTCTGAAGAGGAATTTATAGATTGGTATCGGACATATGGGCTAATATCAGACTTATGATCTTGATCTGGGCTGGGATACTTTCTCAAAATACAATTGCTCTTTTATATAAAGCTCTTTTAAAAAAAATCATTTTATTGGGGGCTCGTACAACTCTTATCACAATCCATACATACATCCATTGTGTCAAGCACATTTGTACATTTGTTGCCATCATTCTCAAAACATTTGCTTTCTACTTGAGCTCTGGGTATCAGCTCCTAATTTTTCCCCTCCATCCCCGCTCTCCCCTCCCCACCCCCATAAAGCTCTTTCTTATACACATGTGAGTGTCTACAAATTTTTTTCTCTAGTCTACCTAGACTAACACACTGGTCTTCCACATAAAACCAAACTAAACTGACTGCCATTGAGTTGATGCTGATTCAAAGCAACCCTATAGGACAGGGTAGAACTACCCCTGTGAGTTTCTGAGACTATAATTGTTTATGAGAGTAGAAAGGCCCGTCTTTCTTCCAAAGGCCAGCTCTTGGTTTCAAATTGCTGACCTACCAGTTAGCAGCCCTACTAGTAAGCACTACACCACCACAGCTCCCAGTCTTCCCCATAGAAGGATAGGATTCTACTGAACCACCCCTACCCACTTAGTTCCCTGCCCCATTCCTGGCTCCAAAAATATTAGAGAAGGATTTTAAAGGCAGGTATTGCAGGCAAGAGGAACCCTGGTGGCATACTGGTTACATGTTGGGCCATGATCCATAAGATTGGCAGTTCAAAAATCATCATTGTGAATGAGGGGGGATGCAGAGTGGAGACCCAAAAAGCCCATCTGTAGGCAACTGGACA